AGATTGAAGTTGTCAAGGATTTCATTTTAACCGGATCCACAGTCAACACCCATGAAAGCAATAGTCGAGAAATCAAAAGATGCATTGCATTGTCCTTCTTCCATGGAGCCGCTGGCTGAGTTCGAGCCTCTAACCTTTCAGTTAGCAGCCAGTACTTAACCACTGAGCTACCAGGGTGCCTTTTAGAGGCATCTAGGAAAGTACCAGCATGGTTTCTCAACAGAGGACTCTTTATCTCTTTCTTAGAGGCATCTAGAAAAAAAGATATGAGCTCTCTGTTGAAAAACCATCCTGGTGCTTAACAATCCCAATTGCCAAACAGTCTTCCTCCTACACATGGAAATTCCCAGGCCTGCTCTCAAGCCTCCTCTCCCTGACTTGGATCTCCCTGACTCTGACCAACCCGTGCTGGCCAGCGAGCTATTCTTTCCTAAACCTTCCTCCCATCTACCTACACCTGCTTTCCTTCTTCCTTCCAGGCGTTGTCCTTCCCGCTTTAATCAACAGACACAGTGTAATTGGTCTTTTCATGTCTGATCTTGAGGATGAGGAAGGGAGAAAGATATTTCATACTTTCCCCTTCTCATCAACTTAAAGCTAAACATACTCCTAGCTACAGATGAGGTTTGCTGCCTGGAACTAGAAGCCTGCAAAACTGACAGCAACACCCTATCACAGACTAAACTCCGGCTTCATATTCATTATTAAAACAAAAAACAAAACGGTCACCCTCGAGTCGACCTCGACTCATGGCGGCCCCATGTGTGTCAGAGGAGAATTATGTTCCATATGGTTTCCAACGGCTGATTTTTCAGAAACAGATTGCCAGGCCTTTCTTCTGCAGCACCTCTGGGGGACTTGAACCTCTAACCTTTCAGTTAGCAGCTGAGCACATTGAAAGTCTGCACCACCCAGCGACTCCTGTTCATTATAACCCATTGCCATCAACTTGATTCCTACTCGTATCAATCCTATAGGACAGAGTAGAACTGCTCCATAGGGTTTCCAAGGCTGTAATCTTTACAGAAGCAGACTGCCACATCTTTCTTTGGAGGAGCAGCTGGTGGATTTAAACCAGTGACCTTTCAGTTAGCAGCCGAGTGCTTAACCGCTGCGCCACCAGAGCTTCTTTGTTCATTATTAACCAAAAAAAATAAACCTGTTGCTGTCAAGTTGATTCCGACTCAACCCTAGGAGACAGAGTAGAACTGCCCCATAGGGTTTCCAAGGAGCGGCTGGTAGACTCAAACTGCCAACCTTTTGGGTAGCAGCCGAGCTCTTAACCACTGCGCCACCAGGGCTCCTGTTCATTATTAGGATGGGTCAAATCTCACCCCTCCTTACAGAACCCAGACCACAGCTCCCCCTCCTGCCCTCTAGGACCCTCCTTTTGCTCAGGGACATTCCTCCTCTTCCTACAGCCTGGCCCCCCCTCCTCTAAGAAAACCTGGCAGAATCTCCTCACAGTATAGGACACAAAAAGTTGGAGGAGAGGTGTTTGGGGACTAATGTAGGGCTGCTACCAGATTAAATAGAAGGAAATGGGGGAAACCTAGCTCAAAAACATGGCTGAATGTGGCTTTGTTAGGCTTGTTTTTCAACTTTTATATATGTTTGAAATGTACCCTAACAAAAAGTTTTTAAAAGTTCAGAAAAAAGGGAAGGAGAGATGGAGGGAGGGAGAGAGGGACGGAAGAAGAGAGGGAGGCAGGAAAGCAAGAAGGAAAATCAACTTCTATAGGGCCGGTCACCAACCAGCGCTTCCTGGCATCCTCTGGCTGCAAGTAGTCGAGGATGATGCCTCAGACCGCCACCTGGTGGTCCCACGTAGAATTTTCATATTTAGGAGAAACAACAACAACACTGCCGTCCAGTCGATTCCAACTGGTAGAGACCCTATAGGACAGAGTAGAACCGCCCCCATAGGGTTTCCAAGGCTGTAAATCTTTACTGAAGCCAACTGCCACATCGTTCTCCTGTGGAGCGGCTGGTGGGCTCGGTCAGCCAACCTTTTGTTTAACAGCTGAGCGCTTTAACCACTGCACCATATTCCGAGACATGAGGAAAGGATTCCTTCTTTCATCTTCACAGATTATCAACCATCAAAGCCCAGTTTTTAAAACCCGTTCTTCACCTACCAGGAAAGGAGAACAGGGTGGGATCACATCTTAAAATTGTCTGTACTTGGATGTGTGTGCGTGTGTGTGTGTCTGTGTGCTTTGGGGGGTGTTTGTTTTTGTCATGGATTTTCTCCATGCTTGTCAGTGTCACAGACATGAAATCATCCTCCCCTGAGCCATGATCCTAACCAAACATTGGTTCCTTATTTAGAGTCTCAGCACCAGAAGACTGGTTTCCAGTCTGGGCTCCACTTTTCACTACTTAGAGGAACCTGACTGTTGTGACTGTATCTGAGCCTCCCTTTCCACATCCAGCTGGGATAACCACCCTGCCTTCCTCCCACAGGTGTGAGGACAACATAAGAAAGGGAACTTGCATGCGCTTTTAGAAGAATCGCTCACTGTAGAGCTGCACGGTGGCAGTGGGGTGGTGTTGGCAGCAGAAGTAGCTTTAGAAAAAGTTGCAGGGAGTTCAAGGTATGGATGGCCGTATTTCTTCATTGCTCACGGCAGAACGTGTCTTCTGCCTTTTGCACGCACACGGCTCTTTGAGGACTGTCAATGCACACCTACTCAGAGGCACACACACACAGCCAACGCACATGGTGATTGTCCTTTCTTTAAGTTGATTAATTATACTTCAGTTCAAGATGATTACTTATCTTTGAAACACCTGCACGACCTTACAGTTCCAGGGTGAGGTCAAGTCGATTCCAACTCATGGCGACCCCCTGTGTGTCAGAGTAGAGCTGTGCTCCAAAGGGTTTTCAGTGACTGATTGTTTGGAAATAGATCACCAGGGCTTTCTTCCAAGTGCCTCTGGGTGGACTCAAAGCACCAACTTTTCGGTTAGCATCAGTTTGCACCACCCAGGGACTCCAGAAACTATAACAAACCAAAAACCGAACCCATTGCCATCAAGTTGCTTCCGACTTGTAGGACCCTACAGGACAGAGTAGAACTGCCCCACAGGGTGTCCAAAGCTGTAATCTTTATGGAAGCAGACCGCCACATCTTTCTCCTGTGGAGCGGTTGGTGGTTTCAAACGGCCAGTCTTTCGGTTAGCAGCCTAGTGCTTAACCACTGCACCACCAGGGCTCCCTTAGAAACTGTAACAACTCCCTTGAAATGGTTCAGTTTCCCAACTGTTTCTTCCTTCATTTATATTTCAGAGTGACTTCCATTCCTTAAAGTGAAATCACCAGAGAGATGGTAAATGCTCTTTAAACTATAAGAACGACAATAGAACATTTTTGTTCAGTTGTTAACTTTTACTTTGACCTGTAATGTGTACGAAGTCCCTGCTAATAAAAGGCTTGTTGATTTGGATATTAACAACGGGACTGTGATCAAAACACTAAATTAAAATATCTAAGATGAGTTGTTTCCCAGAAGCCAAGGCTATTTTAATCAGATTCCACCTCAAGACACACATTAAAAAAATACCTCACACTATTTGTTCCTTTGGTTAAGCATGGAATCGCTCTCTGTAATGATCATTGTTGGGAAAATCCAACCTCAGGGCATAGAGAAGGGTGCAGGTGAAGGATTTACTACAGAAAGGATGTCTGGTTTATGTACCTAAACCCAAGTCCCCAGGTGGTACAAATGGTTAACACATTCAGCTGCTCATCGAAAGGTTGGAGGTTCGAGTCTACCCAGAGATACCTTGGAAGAAAGGCCTGGCAATCTTCTTCTCCAAAATCAGCCATTGAAAACCCTATAGACCATAATGGTTTGCTCCACAACCAATCATGAGGATGGTGCAGGACGGAGCTGCATTTCTTTCAGTTGTGCACGGGGTCGCCATGATTCAGGGGCCAACTTCATGGCAACTAACAACACCATAGTTATCCAAGGTGCTGGATGAAACCTGAGTGAAGGGCATGCAGGATCTCTCATTATTTCTTACAACTGCATGTGAATCTACAGTGATCTCAAAATTAAAAATATAAAAATTATTATAGCAGCTGCATCAACTATCATTTATTTATTTACTCAGTAAATATCTACTGGGCACCTCCTATGTGTCAGGCATGGTTCTAGGTGCTGGGGATACAGCAGATAATACTACAGACGAAAGTTCCTGTCCCCATGGAGCTTACATTCTAATGAGACTTGGCTTGTCCACGACTTCATTCAGTTGGGTCGATTATAATTCAAGTTATTGCATAAATGCTGATCACAAAGTATTCACTTTCTCAGCCCTTCCCCAATAGTGTTGACTAGGTTTTCCTGTGCTACTTGTTGTTTCAATTCATATCAACCCTATGTACAACAGAATGAAATCTTGTGCCATCCTCACAACTGTTGCTGTGTTTGAGCCCATTGTTGCAGCCACTGTGTCAATCCATCTCATTGAGGGTCTTCCTCTTTCTCACTGACCCTCTACCTTACCAAGCATGATATCCTTCTCCAGGGATTGGTCCCTCCTGATAACATGGCCTAAGTATGTGAGACAAAGTCTTGCCATCCTCACTTCCAAGGAGCACTCTGGCTGTATTTCTTCCAAGATAGACTTGTTCATACTTCTGGCAGTCCATGGTATATTCAATATTCTTCACCAACACCATAATTCAAAGGCATCAATTCTTCTTTGGTCTTCCTTATTCACTGTCCAGCTTTCACAAGCATATGAGGCAAGGTTCAAATAATATTTGGGAATACCAAGCTTTGTCACAAATGGTAAATCAATGAGTCAGTCTTTCTCTTCACTATAATGTTTAAAATAGCTGCAAAATTTAAAATCGTCTCTATTCAACACGTGCTTGAAAGTATAACTCCCTTTTCTTTTGTATCCTTCCTTCCTCTAGGCTACAGACAGTAAGCATGAAGCGTGGACACAATCAGTCGTCACAGAGGTGATTAGGATTTGATTGGATGAATCGCAAATCCCAGCTAGCGCTGCCAAAGAAAGACATTTCTCCCCACTGTTCCGGCACCCTCGAGGTCCACAGACACCAGGGCAGAAGACAGAAAATGGCAGCCACCCAAGCGTTAAGGGCGGCCCTTCCAGGCACTTTCATCCCTGCCCCAAGTCTTACTCCATGATGGCCTGTAACAGCACTTCCACTGAGACTTACGAATGCTTTCTGCTGAACACAAGCAATGTGTCCGACTCGGGGGCGACCACACTGTCTGCCCCCCTCAGGGTCTCGTTGGCAATAATGATGATGCTGATGATCGTGGTGGGATTCCTTGGCAACACTGTCGTCTGCATCATCGTGTACCAGAGGCCAGCCATGCGCTCCGCCATCAACCTGTTGCTGGCCACCTTGGCCTTCTCGGACATCATGCTGTCCTTATGCTGCATGCCCTTCACTGCTGTCACCCTGATCACCGTCAAGTGGCACTTTGGGGATTACTTCTGCCGGCTCTCTGCCACACTCTACTGGTTTTTCGTCCTGGAGGGCGTGGCCATCCTGCTGATCATCAGCGTGGACCGTTTCCTCATCATCGTCCAGCGCCAGGACAAGCTGAATCCGCGGAGGGCCAAGGTGATTATCGCTATATCCTGGGCGCTGTCTTTCTGTATCTCCGTCCCCTCCCTCACAGGCCGGACGTTGGTGCAAGTGCCCACGCGGGCCCCTCAGTGCGTGTTGGGCTACACCGAGCTCCCGGCTGAGCGCGCCTACGTGGTGACGCTGGTGGTGGCTGTGTTCTTCGTGCCCTTCAGCGTCATGCTTGGCTCCTACGTGGGCATTCTCAACACGGTGCGGAAGAACGCTGTCCGCGTGCACAACCAATCCGACAGCCTGGACCTGAGGCAGCTCACCAGGGCCGGCCTGCGGCGGCTCCAGCGGCAGCACCAGGTCAGCGTGGACCTGAGCTTCAAGACCAAGGCCTTCACCACCATCCTCATCCTCTTCGTCGGCTTCTCGCTCTGCTGGCTGCCCCACTCGGTCTACAGCCTCCTGTCTGTGTTCAGCCGGCGGTTTTACGACAGCTCGTCCTTCTACGCCACCAGCACCTGTGTGCTGTGGCTCAGTTACCTCAAGTCCGTCTTCAACCCCATTGTCTACTGCTGGAGAATCAAAAAGTTCCGCGAGGCCTGCATCGAGTTGCTACCGCAAACCTTCCAAATCCTTCCCAAAGTGCCTGAGCGGATCCGACGGAGAATCCAGCCCAGCAGGGTCTACGCGTGCAGCGAGAACCAGTCTGCGGTGTAGGGGACAGGAGGGGGCGCTGCGGGGATGCAGGAGACCGGTGGGTTCCAGGCAGGCGTCTGTCCATCTGTCCATCTGCTTGGCTTCCTGGCACTTTAAGCATGGGCAGCATTTTGTGGTGGCGGCGCAGTGGTTAAGACCTCGGCTGCTAACCAACAGGTCGGCAGTTCGAATCCATCAGCCGCTCCTTGGAAACCCTATGGGGCAGTTCTACTCTGTCCTGTAGGTCGCCAGGAGTCGGAATCGACTGGGCGGCATCGGGTTTGGTTTGGTTGGTTTATTTAAGCACAAAGGTACTCATCTGTTGCCAGATGGGCTGTGGCGCCCACATGTTGGCAGATGAGTATTTTCGCTTCTCCTGGCGAAAGAATAACGTCTGGGTCTGATGGGAGCTGGAAGGAACTTAAGACCAAATGGGGGTGGTGTGGGGAGGATTGCAGACGTCAGACAGAACCTTAGGGAGGAGTGTGGGTGGAAGGGGGCTTCTGTTAAAATAGCTCCATTCTGTAGTCCTTGCTCCCTCTATGGACACCCTGGGTGGCACAAATGACCAAGTGCTCAACCACTAGCCAAAAGGTTGGTGGTTCGAACCCACCCAGAGGCACCTTTGAAGACAGGCCTGGCGATCTGCTAACGAAAGGTCACAGCCTTGAAAACCCTAGGGAGCAGTTCTACTCTGCACGCATGGGGTCGTGGTGAATTGGAATTGACTCAGAAACGAGTGGCAGCTCCCTCTACGCCCCTTGAAGAAAAACCCCATGGTGCCATATTCTGATAAGAGAAACTCAAACAGTTGTCATTTCAGTGGTTATCACTCATTTTATTTGAAGCCAGCATTCTTCAGAGTTATTTACGTTGGGTGGTGTATGGGGAAAACACAAGTTTCTTTACATGAGTCACAATGTGCATTTCTGACAGTGCCAAATCATCCTTTCTATATACCAAAACCACGTTCAGAAGCAGCATGGGCTTCTGTGCTTTTCAGCTCCTCAGCCCAGCGTGATGTGTGGAAGCCCTCAGTGGCTCAAAGCGCGGAGAATGCTCTGGGGCGGCTCAGCTGAAATGAGAAGCTCACCACGCCCGTTTCTCATTTGTGCTACCTGAGTACCTATGATTGTGTTAGACACCCTCTACCTGGTCCAGGTTCCTCAGCTGTTCCATCCCTCACAGGTCCCTGTGCCCTAAAGTCTTTCACCCCTCCCTGTCAGCTATGGGAGCCCTGGTGGCACAGTGGTTAAGAGCTATGGCTGTTAACCAAAAGGTCATCGGTTTGAATCCACCAGCCACTCCTTGGAAACCCTGTGAGGCAGTTCTACTCTGTCCTACAGGGTCGCTATGAGTTGGAGTCAACTTGATGGCAATAGGTTTGATTTTTGGTTTGTTGTCTTCTGTGAGAGAAGTCCCTGGGTGGCTCAAGCAGTTTGTGCTCGACTACTAACCTAAAGGTTAGCGGTTCAAACCCACCCAGCAACACCCCAGAAGAAAGGCCTGGTGGTCTGCTTCTATAAAGATTACAACCAAGAAACCCCTATTGGGGCACTTCTACTCTTTAACACATGGGGTCGCCAGAGTTGGCATTGACTCAACGGCATTGAACCTGGTGTTTTTGTGTGTATATCTGCTGTGACGGTGGGTTGGCTCCTTCTTTCTCTCCCTTCACTGCTTCCCACGCCTCCGTCTGTTTTCGTTCGGTCCGTTTCCAGTGTTCTGAGAAAACACTCCCTCTGCAGTTCGTCTCTTCAGCAAATATTTATAGTGACTTGCTCTAAGTTTCAAAGTGGTCGGTCACTATGCTCTGTTTACATGTTCCCTCCCGACGCCCTGGGTTCCCACAGTCTTTGAGAGCCACCAAGCTGACGTCAGCTCTAGAAGTGCTGTGGGGGGCACAATAAACAAAACTGGATGCCAGGCAGTTCCTCATCCATCTCTGTGTTCCTCTACCTCATTCAGATCCCCCCGAATCTGACTGCTGTCATCTGGTCCACTTTTCCCGGGACCTTGTTCCTTAATCCCAGGCACAGCTGGGCTCCCGGGGACGAAGCCTGCCTAGAGGGGACGTTTCTGCTTGCGCTTTGCACTTGGCCATCATGACCACAGCCACCCTTCACTGCCAGGAGCTTCTGACATTGGGGGAGGGCTTTCCTGAGTTCAGGACATAGGATTATGGTCCCATTTGGAGCCCTGGTGGCACAGTGGTTAAGAGCTGTGGCTGTTCAAACCCATCAGCCGCTCCTTGGAAACCCTATGTGGCAGCTCTACTCTGTCCTATAGGGTCACTATGAGTCAGAATTTACTCGATGGCAAGGGGTTAGGTCTAAGCTCTTTTTAAGGAGCCCTGGTGGTGCAATGGGTAAGCGCTCAGCTGCAAACTGAAAGGTTGATGATTCAAACCCATCCAGCAGCTCTGTGAAAGAAAGACCTGGTTGGTAATCTGCTCTCAGAAAGATTACAGGCTAGGAAACCCTATAGGGCATTTCTACTGTCATATAGGGTCGCTATGAGTCAGAATCAACTCCACAGCACCCAACAGCAACAAGCTCTTTTTACACTTTAAGATCTAAAAGAAAAGTGGGAAATTTAAGGAGAAATTAGAAAAATCTGACTCTACCCAGAACTAGTTGTGTGACCTTGTTTGGGTCACTTCCCCTCCCTGGACTCTCTGTGTTTCCCAAGTCAGGAAGCACGCCCAGAGATCACCGATGTCCCTTCCATCTCTCAAACACGCTCATCTAAGATTTGAATGTTTTCTGCTCCTTGTCACCAGGTCCCCTGCATTTCTTTATTCATCCATGCAAAGAGCATTTATTAAGTGCCTATTAGATGCAAGGCACTGTGGGGACATAGTGATGAATAAGGCAAGGGCCAGGCCCGAAAACAGTTGTACCATTTACCTCAGGATAATGGCCCCTCAAATTCAGCCTAAAATCACAGAAGCTACATTTTTGTTTTACTTCTCATTTTATTTCTAAGATTGTATTAAAAGACCAGGAGGCCCTCAGTGGCACAAATGGTTAAGCGTTCAGCTACTAACTGATAGGTTGGAGGTTCAAGTCCACCCAGAGGCGCCTCGGAAGAAAAGCCTGGCGATCTACTCCTGAAAAATCAGCCACTGAAAACCCTATGGAGTGCAGTTCTACTCTGAAACACATGGGGTCACCATGAGTCAGAGTCGACTTGAGAGCAACTGTTTTTGTCTGTTTGTTTGTATTAAACGACTAGATCCTCACTCTCACGTTTTCTTCCTGTGGTAACCGTGCGGGAGGCAGGGGAGGAAGGGAGGTAAAGAGAAAAACATAATCTACATTAACCTAGGCCCAGAGGAGGATTTATCCCGGAAACAACTGACACCTTTTCTCCCTGACTCCACGCTTCTTTTATACCTAGATGAAGAGAGCAAGAGAGACTGGCAATTGGTTGGTTGATCCACTTAAGTCAATTTAACCAATTTGTGTCCGAAGGCCCACCAGGCACAGGCCAGGTTTGCCTTCAGCTCCCGTGGGGCAGGGCTGCAGCTGCCCTCAGGGTGCAGGGCCTTCAGCTCCCACGGGGCAGGGCTGCAGGTGCCCCCAGAGGGCAGGGCCTTCAGCTCCCACGGGGCAGGGCTGCAGGTGCCCCAGGGTGCAGGGCAGGGCTTGTTCAAGCCCCAGCAGTGCCCAGAAAACCCATGGTACCAAGCCAGGGGGAGCCTCCCCTCTGGTGGGCATTTGAGAATGTTCTTCAGGATCCTGGAGTAAAATAGAAATCACAATACTGAATGAATGAAGGTACTAAAATTTACATCAGTGTTATATGATGTATGTCTGACAGTAATATATATGTTTCAAAGTAATAATTTTGTATATATTTTAAATAAAGTATTATTGCTCTTTCTGTGTATAAGACTATATTCTTGTCAAAATTAATACCACAGCCACGAATAGTAAGCCAAGAATCTGATGTCCAATACCTCCTAAGAACAACACTTTCAGAAAATCTAGAACCGAAGTATAAATTACAAGCATCACTGGAATGGCCACAGAAGGCGGTGATAATAATGATAATCGGGTGACAGTATTTAAGTAATGTGGATCACAGTTTGGGGGACACCTTTCATCACTGCCTTGCAGTGTTGCTCGGGCTAATTAGCTTTCACTTCTGACTTTCAGTTTGCCCACCTTCATAATTATCTCTGGCCTCACTGAGCCTTTAATGAACTTCAATTTCTTAAGATGTTGCATAAATACCCAGCTCTGGTCCTATTCCCTGAGACTTACAGGGCAGTAACTGCTTCGTTTTTTTTTTTTTTTTTCATCTTTTCTGCAGCCCTGGAATTTCCCCAAACCCTAGGCTCTGTCTGAAGTCTATGTCTGCTTCACACCTGAATCGTTTCTGCAGGGCCTTGGGTGAGAGACGAGAAATCAGTCAACTATGGTTATAACTGACTTAGGAGGCAAGACCGGGGCACGCTGCGAGAGTCTAGTCTTAGAAAATGAAGCACAAAGTAAATCTCAGAAACGTCATTCTAATTCTGACATCTCTAGAAAATCTGCCACCTTTTAATCCTGATCCCCGTTGTTGAGGTGAAATAAGAGGAAAGTGTCTTTAGGTCGTTTTGACAACCAAGATGAGCGACAAAACTCTAGATCGATTATTCTTCCTTTGTTATTTTGAGCCCTGGATATATTTTCCTCCGACACAGTTTACATGGCCTGCTTTTATAGACTAAAATAACTCCATGTTAAATATTTTCAAAGCTGTTCTGCTCCCCTTCCTCACACAGTTGGCAGCTCTGGCCCTGAAGGCCTGAAGTGGCAGGAGTGTCCAGCGTCCAGGTTTCTGCTCTGACGGAAATGGCGCAGGGGCAGTGGAATGGAAAGAGCCTGTGCTTCAGAACTGGACAAGCTGAGTCCCAGTTCTCTCTGGGTGGTCCCGGGCAAGTTACAGAACTTTCGTGTGACCCCCTTACCTCACCTCCAATGTGGAGGAAATGCCCCCAATTAGAGGGACTCCCATGAAGAATACAT